AAGCATTCTACAACTTGAGCCACAGCACCACTTCTGGCCTTGTCTATTTATGTGGTACAGAGAAATCAAACACAGGACTTCATGCATTCTAGGCAAGCACTCTACCACTAAGCCACATTCCTAGCCCCAGCCTCCAGGTCTCTTACCTTAAATAGTTGTCAATGAGGGCCTCATGGTCTAGCAGCTCTTCGGGTGGGGGCACAGTGGGCATGGAGAACTGGTGCTTTAGGGGGCTGGGCTGGATTCTCTGGAAGGAGGCCTGGCAGATGAAGATAGGTTTGCCATGCTGTATGGCCTTCACAGAACGTACTGAGAAGCTGGCCCCTGAGCGTGTTCGCTCCACCTGGTATAGCACCGGCACCTTTGGGTCTCCTGTAGTGGACATAATATAATGCAGAGCCTGAGTAGGGCCCACAAGTCCTATCATTCTTACAATGGCCAGACAGCACCGTGGCTCTATTTGTCCACTCCAGTTTCTTCTTTCAAGCTAAGGACCTATATCTTAGCTAAGACATAGATAATACTGTGGATACAAAGAGAACAACCAGACTTTGTCATCAGACTGTTCCTAGTGCAGAAGGCACTCCTTTCTATCAATAGTGCAGGAACCTTGCCAGGTTCTCGGCATTCAAATCCTGGTTCTACCATTTACCAGCTGTGAGAGTCTGGGAAATTCACTTAACTTCTCTGAGCATCATATGCATTTGTAAATGGTGATCGTCATAGTTCTTACTTCACAAGGTCTTAATGAAAATTAAGTGAATTCATAGTTATAAAGTATTTAGAACAATAGGTGACACATAATTGTTAATACTCTTGGCTTTTGTTTTTTAGAACAGGGCTATCCAGGTTGGTCTCAAACTCCTAGGCTTAAACAATCCTGCCTCAGCCTCCCACGTGGCTGGGCATGGTGGCTGTGCACCACCACGCCCAGTTCTTCAAGCTTTTGTCTTGTTTCAACCTTGCCTACAATATGTGTGTGTGCGTGGAGTGTGTGGGTAGGTGTGTGTGTGTGTGTGTGTATGTGTGTGTGTATGTGTGTGTGTGTGTGTGTGCTGGTATAAGCATTCTTGCTTGGCTTTTTCTCCTTAAGGCTAGTGCTCTACCACTTGAACCACAGCTCCACTTTGGAGCTGGTTAGTTGGAGATAAAAGTCTCACAGGCTTTCCTGCCTGTGCTAGCTTCACAATCCTCAGAGCTCATCCTCCTGAGTAGCTAGAATCACAGGTATAAGCCACCAACACCTAGCTCCAAAAGACATCTTGTGTATGATTTTCAATTTTCTTTTTTTTTTGTTGGTCGTGGGGCCTGAACTCTGGGCCTGGGTGCTGTCCCTCAGCTCTTCAGCTCAAGGCTAGCATTCTACCACTTGAAATACAGCACCACTTCTGGCTTTTTCTGCTTATGAGGTGCTGAGGAATCAAACCTGGGGCCTCATGCAGGCAAGGCAAGCACTCTGCCACTGAGCCACCTTCCCAGCCCCTGATGTTCAACTTTCATGTGCAAGAAACAGGTCTAGGAAAGCAATGCCTCTTTTAAGACCCAAATTGGAAACACCAAGCCCTAGGCTCCCTCAGCAGGAATAAAGACTACTGCTGTCTGCTTTGCTCAGGTGACTGCTTACTAGACATTGCCGGGGGGGAGGGGGCACAGAAGCGGGGGGCAGGGGGCTATAATCAGAAATAATCAGAACAGGGCTTTCTCAAGGTGAGAGGAGTTCCTGGGGTGTATAGGAAAATGTTATCTCCAAAAGGGGGAGGAGGCCTTGCTTGTTTTTGGATTTTGAGGCAGGATTTCCCTATGTAACCCAAGCTAGCCTCAAATTTAAGGTCTTCTTGCCTCTTACTCCCTATTGCTAGAACTACAGGTATATGTAACCATGTCAGGTTTCAAAAAAGAACGATAAGTTGTCATTTATAGAAAATCAGTAACATTCCATGCCTTGTACTAGTACATTACTTTAGGTAGCAGAAATTCATAAATTGCCAGATGTCATGCTAGCAACTCAGGAGGCTAAGATCTGAGGATTGCAGTTCAATTCCAAACCAAGCAGTCAAATCCAAGACACTCTAGCTTTAATTAGCCAGTAAAATGGCAAACTAGAAGCTTGGCTGACGTGGAAACATGGCCAGCCAGGAGCAAAAAAGCCTAGTGAGAGCAAGGAGATCTGAGCATGGGGTGAGGGATGCGGCTCAGGTAGTGGAACACTTGCCTAATCCTCAGTGCAAAGAGAGGAGAGAAAGAGAAAGATCATCCCACTAACATATCTCTGGAGAAGTCTTGATTTTTTCCCCAGATTTGTATGCTGTACAGTCTACTTCAAAGCCCAAATGCAGTTTACAGCAGTCCTCTGCGGTTCTAGTGTCTATATATATTTTATAAAATTTCATACTTGGTATTACAAGGTATATTTAAAAAAATGAAGAACAGTCAGGTGCCAGTGGCTCACATCTGTAATTCAAGCTACCAGGAAGCTAAGACTTGAAGATCTCAGTTCAAAGCCAGCCTGAGCAGGAAAGTTTATCTCCAATAAACTACTCAAAAAAAAAAAAAAAAAGCCAAAGTGGGGATGTGCCTCAGCGGTACAATACTAGCTTTGAGCACCGGAGGGGGCGGGGGGGGAGAATAAGCAGTGTGATGGTGCACCCTTGTAATACAATTCAGCATTTGGGTGGCTGAGGCAGGAGGATCTGGAGCTTGAGGGCAGTCAGGGCTACATAGACCCTGACTCCCAAAACAACAACAAACAACAGTTCTGTGTCATTAAGAGCCAGAGCACAAGTACCCGGTGAGTCTCCCTGGGTGCGAAGTGAAAGGCACTTTGTGGACTCCAGACCTTGTCTCACCCTAGCTGCATCTTAGGAAATTGTCTTTCTGCCCCCCTCCACCCTCCCTCCTCTGATTCTTCTCATTTCCTCTTTCTCTTTAGTCAGCCCAAAGCCAATGACTGTTAGGCCACCAGGGCTGGGTTGAAGACAAGCAGCCAGGGTGCCAGGGTTTACCTGCCCGAACAAAGTAGCAGTGCAGGGAGTGGACGTGGATGTCTTCACACACAGACTTGGCTGCAGCCACCAGGGCCTGGCCCACGATCTGACCCCCAAAGAGCCGCTGGGTGGTGGGTACCCAGTAATGCCTTCCTCTGTGGGGAGAGGATGAAAGTGGGAAAGACTTGAGGGATGCTCTATATTCTAGGCACCATAATGAGCCTCTAGTGCAAGATATTGTAACCTAATTGGGGTTTGGAATCCTTTTGAGAATCTGATGAAAGACATGGACTCTGTCCCCAGACAAATATCCATATATCACTCTGCATAAAATGTTATAGCCTTTGGAAACACCCTTCTGTGGACTGTAATTGAGGATAATAATGTAATTCCTTGATTTTCTACTAAGAGGCCTGGAATCAGAGATGGTAAGTGGCTGAGCAAGTTGATATAGCTTAAACATTACCAATCATGAATAGTTTCTGAGCCTTTTGACCTCAAGTCCAATGTCTCCTGTGCTCCCACAAACCAAAGTAAGACAAAAGAAGACTTCCAAGGCGTTAAATACATCAAGATGAGCCCCAAGAGGAGCTGAACTGAAGGTAGACCATAAGGCCCATCACTGGCATCTAACTATGACAACAAATTTCAGAGTTTAAGGTACTCTCAGACATGAAGTCTAAAGCTGTGAACTTTTGCACAGATGAGGAAACCGGCCTGACTGAGAGGTGAAAAGATTTACCTAGGGCCAGCAGGTTAAAAGAGCCTGCCCACTGAGTCCAACACCCAACCTGAGCTTATCATTTTCATAGGCACACTGAATAGCAGCTCCCACACACCCCAAAAAGTTAAAATTCCCCTAAGTGGAAGGAAGAAACATGAAGTAAGATTGCTTCCAATAAAGTCAGAGGGAAGCATGGGGTCTGTTACAAAACACAGTGCTGTCATCACCAACTTCAGCGATCCTGGGAAGTACACAGGCCTCTGGATGAGTAGAGCTCCCAGAAGCCACCAAATGGTGTGGGGTCTGGGGGTGGGAATAGGGGTGGAGGTAGGGGATGTGAGAGGAAACGGACAGTGTGTTTGCAAGCAGTTGTGCATCCGTTTTAAACCTGATCAGCTGTGTGCCCTTGGGCAAAGCACTGCCCTCTCTGGGTCGGTTCTACCACAGGGTGGGGGCAGAGTATCTCTGGGTCACCACTTCGCCCAGATCGCCAATTCCTCCCCGGGGACAGCAAGGACACTTGTCAGGAGCACGTTCTGTCCTAACCGCACTGAGGCCTGCACCTCGCACAGCGCATGCTCTCCCCGGCGCTGGGGGTCCCGGGCGGCCAAGGTCGGAAGTCCCGGTCCTACAGAAAGGCTGTGGGACAGGTGAGGCCAGCTACCTGAACAGGTCCTCGTCCAGCGGCTCCAGATTGAGCACGCTGGTGACCAGGACGCTACGGAGGTCCTGGGAGGGGTCGTCGCCGCCGCCGTCCTGCTTATCCTTCCGGGACTTCGGGGATGACATCTTGACTGACCCCCACAGCTGACCGACGACACCACTGGCCCACAGACGCCGGGAGACCAATTCCGAACCCAGGTGCTTCCGGCAGATTACCTTAGTAGCCGGAAGTCCCCTCAGGGACCGGAGAGCGAGGTTTGGGCTGTGATTGGCTTGTGTTCCCGTCCATTGCAAGGTGGGCGTGGCTCTCTTGTACTAGCGATTGGAGAAAACGAGTGCCGCTCTGAGAACCCCCTGTGTGATTGGCTAGCTCGGTGAGGAGGCGGGGCCTCAGGAAAACATGGGCTATTACTTCACCTCTCTCAGAAAGCGAGACGCCCCCCAAGCCCCAGGTAACCCAGTTAGGTCCCGGCCTCCTCCCGCGCTCGGCGCCGGGCCAGCCGGTGGGGGCCGCCCCTGGGGGCGTGCCGCGCCCACGCCGCCTATAAAGACTCGGGGTGCCTCCGGACCCCCGGCGTGAGCTCGTGCCGGGCCTGGGGTCTGACGCGGCGTGGGCGGCAGGGGCGGCCATGGAGCTGGGCAGCTGCTTCAAGACCTACCAGGACTTCGAGGAGTGCTTCAGCGCCTACAAGACGGAGAACAAGTGCTGCTTCGTCCTCAACGACTGCGTCTCGGTGCGCTTCCACAACCTCTGCTACGGCACCTGCATCCGCGAGGACATCCTGTAAGGGCGGGGCGGCGGGGCGGGGAGGGAGGGGGTGCCCGGGGGGGCGCCCGGGGAGGGGGTGCCCGGGGGCTCGGGGTGTGTGTGTGTGCGCGCGCGCGTGCGTGTGTGTACACACACACACACACACACACTTCCAGAGCCAGCTATTTCACTTTGACTCATTCACAAGTTTTTCTGGAATTCTCTCCCTGCCTCCTTCTCCCCCCCACCCCCACCCCGGGCGAACCTGCAGTTCCCCAAGCACAGACTTCACAAATACAGTTTTAAAAAACACCAAACAACAACAACACACGAGCTGGCGCCTGTGGTCACCCTTGTAATCCTAGCTACTCAGAAGGCTGAAATCGGGGGCTCATGGTTCAAAGCTAGCCCAGGCAGGAGAAGTCCAATTATCTCCAATTAACCAACAAAAAGCTGGAAATGAAGCTATGGTTCAAGTTGGTAGATCATTGGACTTGAAGAAACTGAGTTCAAGACACAGTACTAGCAAATACATATATTTATATATACACGTGTGTGTGGATACATATAATATGTGTGTGTGTGTGCCTTATAAAAGGGCTAGATGTGGTGGCTCCCACCTGTACCCCAGCATTTAGGAGGCTGAAGTAAGAACATATCAAATTGAAGGCCCTATCTAAAAAAGAGAAGAAAAAAGGTAAAGACAGGGAAAGAATATATATCAAAGGTTACAGACAAAGCTGTATTCTGAAAAGACTGCAGTTTCTATAGCCTCTGTAAGTACGCCATCTTCCAGGTACTTTCCTATAGTCCACTCTCTGGGAGCATGCCAGACCTAGGCCTGCATTATACAGAGGGAGAACTTCCAACCTTCCAATTCTATCTTTTTTTTTTTTGCCCCCATACCACTGCCACCCTTCAGTCACCTTGGTAAGATCCATAAAGACACTTGCCACTTTGGAGACTCCCACTGCATTAGGACTTGTATGCCAGGAAACAGGAGCCAAATGTATACATTTTGTAGGGCTAGGAGTGTAGCTGAGTGGTAAGAGTGCTTACCTAGCATGTGTGAAGCCCTGGGTTCGATTCCTCAGTATCACATAAACAGAAAAAGCCAGAAGTGGCACTGTGACCCAATGTAGAGCCCTATTCTTGAGCACAGAGAGGGTCAGAGACAGAGCCCAGGCACTCAGTTCAAGCCCCAGGACAGGGGAAAAAAGCATATATTTTGTAATATTGTAGATAAATCTAAACTGTTCAGTTTTTTTGTTTGTTTGTTCTTGTTTTTTTGCCGGTCATGAGGCTTGAAATCTGGGCCTGGGCACTGCCCCTCAGCTCTTCAGCTCAAGGCTAGCACTCTACCACTTGAGCCACAGTACCACTTCTGATTTTCTGAGTGTTTTATTGGAGATAATAGTCTCACGGACTTTTCTACCTGGAATGGCTTTGAACTGTGATCCTCAGATCTCAGCCACCTGAATAGCTAGGATTATATGTGTGAGACACTGGCGCCTGTTTTTGTTTTTCTTAATATCCCCATCAGTTTATAATTTTATTTTTTTATTTTTGTTGGTCATGGGGCTTGAACTCAGGGCCTGGGCACTGTCCCTAAGCTCTTTTGTTCCAGGCTAGTGTTCTACCACTTTGTGCCACTTCCCCTTTTCTGGTGGTTAATTGGAGATAAGAGTCTCATGGACTTTGCTGCATAGGCTGGCTTTGAACCATGATCCTCAGATCTCAGCCTTCTGAGTAACTAGGGTTATAGGCATAAGCCACCAGTGCCCTACTTTAGTCTCAATTTTTTTTTTCTTTTGGTCAGTCATGGGGCTTGAACTCTGAGCCTGGGCGTGTCCTCAGCTCTTCAGGTGAGCGCTTTAAAGGTGAGTGCTCTACCACTTGAGCCATAGCGCCACTTCCGGCTTTTTTCTTTTTGCTTATGTGGTACTGAGGAATCAAACCCAGGGCCTCATGCATGCAAGGCAAGCGCTCTACCACTGAGCCACCTTCCCAGCCCCTAGTCTCAACTTTTTAAGGTAAAATTCCATTCAATTATATATATAATATATTTATATGTTATATATTATATATATAATCACAACGAAATGTTTCTGGGGATATTTCTGTCTTTGATTGACTGAAAACCCTGGCTGACAATATGACTTGTGAGTTGCCAATCCGTGGGAGCCACTAAAGGTAATTGTCTCACTGGCCCAGGCTACTTGCATCTTTGTGCCCTCTTCTTTTGTTCTCCATTTGTCCTCAGGTGGCTCACCCACAGAAAGAGCCTTTCCTGCCTTGTTTCTTTGTCCTGAATTGGGCCAGTATCCATGCCCATTCCGAATAAGATTACCTTAATTGGTTTAGCCTAGCACTGAAGCATGTAGCTGTGTGGGGAGGGAGTTGGCCACCAGTAGTTCCTCATAGTCTTTTATCTGAAATCACTCTGAATAGTTCTGATTATTCTTTTTTTTATTGTGAAAATGCTGTACAGAGGGGTTACAATTACATGAGCAAGATAATGAGTACATTTCTTCTCAAGCACTGTAGCCTCCTCCTTTGTTACCCCTTCCCATTCCGTCCTCCCCCGACCCCCCCCACCCAAATGTCCTCCCCCCCACCAAAGTTGTAAAGTTTGTTTTCGACATAATGACTTGTATGTCTCATTGTTGCAATGGGTCCACCTGTATCCCTATTTAACTGATTTGTTTTTTCCCTTCCCCTCCACAAATTATAACAACATCAAATACAGTGAAAGCAGGGGTTATACCGTGGGAGAGGGATGTTCTGATTATTCCTTTTATCAGATATTCATTACCATGTCAAAATCATGAGTTCTCAAATCCATTATATAAAATAGTATAGCCAGGCACTGATGGCTCACACTTGTAATCCTAGCTACTCAGTATGTTGAGAGATCTGAGGATTGTGGTTGGAAGTCAGCTTGGCCAAGAAAGTCCATGAGATTCTTATCTCCAGTTAATTACCCACAAGGCCATAAGTGGAGCTGTGGTTCAAAGTGGTAGAACATCAGCCTTGAGTGAAAAAAGCTAAAGGACAGCACCTAAACCCTAAGTTCAAGACCCAATACCAACACACACACACAATGCCACTGTGAGAGATGCAAGGCAGTACGGAAGCAGGAATGGTGGAATGAGCTTTTATGGTGGGCAGTCATTATCTCTGGCAGTAACTTTACAGTCAGTTAATGTAATTTGATACGCTAAAGTTAGGCAAAGATTTTTTTGGGGGGGAGGGTGGGGCCTGTTGGCACTGTCCCTCAGCTCTTCAGCTCAAGGCTAGTGCTCTACCACTTGATCCACAGCACCACTTCCAGTTTTCTGAGTGCTTCATTAGAGATAAGAGTCTTACAGCCTTTCCTGCCTGGGCTGGCTTTGAACCTCAATCCTCAGCTCTCAGCCTCCTGAGTAGCTAGGAATACAGGCTTGAGCCCAGCCTAGGCAAAGATAGGGCACCATCTGAAGTATTGAGGAAGACTTCCTAGAAAAGATGATGGTTGCATGTGGTTCTGATGTAAGCTCTGAGATGAAGAAAAAATGCAAAGGTCATTTTCCCATTCTCATTAAACATGATGAGCAGAGGGCCAGAAACAAGACATCTCTTAGGGAACACAGCAAGTTCTGGGCAGTTTGTCTTTGTAAGACATAGAGCAGATAACCAGGGAGATAGCAAAGGTCGCCCTTTGGTGCCTTTTCAATGGCCTTGTCATTGGACTCGACTGTTCCTGAATATCCCAAGCTCAAACCTAGACCAGCGCCTCCGCTGCCCTGTGCTCACAGCTGATGCTCAGGTTCTCAGCCCCAGGCCCCTCCGCCCTGTTCCCATAGGACTGACATACCTGTTTTCCTAACCTCACCCCACAGGTGGGCAAACAAGACCTGCTGGATTATAGTGTTTGGGAGAGGATAGGTGGGGCTCCCAAGGTGTGTCTTGCCATGCTAGGGGCTGAGATTTTTATTCCTCCCTTGGTTGTCTTCCACTGGACTCCCAAAGAAGGTGAGGCTGTGACCCTGCCCACTTCCTGGTGATCCCTGATTCATTCCTGCAAGACCTCACTGATAAATATCTGCTGAGGAAACCACTCTACTGAGGAGCTTGGGCTATTGTAGGGAATAATTCAGTCATTGCACTTGAAGCCATCCTCTTCAAATTGGAAAAACCATGAGTAAACAGTCCAGCAGGTTACAGTAAGTGGGAGCTGTCATAATAATAGCAGCAAACTAATTTAGCATAAATAAAAGGCTGAAGCAGACTCTGGGCTAAATGTTCTGCCCCATAGTTTATTTAATTGTCAGGACAACCCTGAGATTTTTTTTTTAATGATAAGTAACTTAAGAAAGTGACCTGCTCAAAACCAAACAGCTTTATCTCTTAAGCCTATTGGACAAATGTTATAAATTCAGAAACAGGATCAACTTTTGTGGCTTCGAGCATCCAGAAAGACTTTGCAGGGGTGGGGCCTACTGGCATTAAGGCATGGGTTGGATGTGGGAATAGGAAAGGAAAAATAACAGATATTCTATTTATTTATTTTCTTTTTGAATAAGAATACCTTTGTGACACCAGGGAGTTTCACTGTGATATTTCCATACATGTACACAGTGTGCTTTCTTCTTCTTTCTTCTGGCTAGAACTTTGCCACTTGAGCCACAGCTCCACTTCTGGCTTTTTCTGTGTTTGTGGTACTGAGGAATTGAACCCAGGGCTTCATGCATGCTAGGCAAGTACTCTACCACTAAGCTACATTCCTCGCCCCACAGTGTGCTGTGAACAGATTCTTTTCTTCCTCCTCCATATTCCATTCCTTCCTTCCCTCTCTCTGCTTTCTCTCACAGTGACTGGTGGGTTATGCATATATGTATGCATGCATGTATGTATTTAATGTCCTTCGATCCTCTTCACTCCTCAGAATCTACACACACACACACACACACACACACATTCCTGATTCTTCTAGGCAGTCCCCATTTCACATTCATGTCCCATTACTGTCATCATCATCACTATTTTAGGACTGTACCCCACAAATAAATACAGGTAGTCAGTTTAATTACCTCTCTCCTTTGAGTCATTTTCAGCCTAGAATACCAAAACAAGAAGGGTCCCTAGAGATCCTCTAGTCTAGTTGTCTAACTTTCCTAGAAGGTTAGAAGTACACTTAGTAGAGTGTGTGCTTAGCACTCAAGAGGCTTAATCCCCATAACTCAACAAAACAAAATTAGGCTGTGAACGTGGGTGTATGTGTGTGCAGGTGCATGAGAGTGCTGGTACTGGTACTTAAAGTCAGGGCCGAGGAGCTGTCCTTTGGCTTTTTCACTCAAGGCTAGCACTCTACCACTTGAGGCCACAGCTCTACTTCTGGCTAAAAGCCAAAGTTAACCACCAAAATGGTAGTTAATTGAAGATGAGTCTCAAGGAATAACTGTGCTGAGGACTATCCTCAGATCTCAGCCTCCTGAATAGCTGGGGTTACAGGTACCACCAGCACACAATTGGCTGTGGGCATATTTTTAAAGATGATTGGATCAAAGATCTTTGTTCCTTAAAAGGAAGTACAGATATATCATATCCCCAGACTACCTTAAAGAGTTTATTTCATAGCCCTGATCTAGTCCAGCATCCTTAGAATCTCCCTTTTATCTTTGCTGAGGAAGAAGTTGAAGGGGAATTGTCCTTGTTTTTTGAGACAGCGTCTTACTATGTGGCCCTGGCTGTTATCCAATTCACAATCCTCCCTGCCTCCACCTCCCACGTGCCAGATGGAGGGGACAATTCAGACAGGAAGCAAAGTAGCTGCTGCTAATCCGTTTTTCCTTTCATCCCCTCTTCTCCCCCTAAACACTGAGATTGAATTGCTGCCAGACATAAATGGTAACAGAATATGGCAGATGTTAGGCCTCCCCTGGTGGGGAGGTATACTTGGAGAGGGTCTCAAAGAATCAGCTAAATGCTTTGGGATTGGAGAACCACTAGAAGTGGTTTCACACTCTACAGTCATTTCCAAGAAAAATATCAATCAGTATAAACCCCTTGTAGGCCCTTTTCTTTTCCTTTTTCTTTTTATTTTTTTGTCAGTTGTGGGTCTTGAACTCAGGGCCTGGGCACTGTCCCTGAGTTTTTTGTTGTTGTTGTTGTCGTTGTTTTTATGTCAGTCATGGCGCCTGAACTCTGGGCCTGGGCACTGACCCTCAGCTCTTCAGCTTAAGGCTAGTGCTCTACCACTTGAGCCAAAGTGCCACTTCCAGCTTTTTCTGCTTATGTGGTGCTGAGGAATGGAACCCAGGGCCTCATGCATGCAAGGCAAGCACTCTACCACTGAGCCACCTTCCCAGCCCTGTCCCTGAGTTCTTTTGTTTAAGGATAGTCTCTACCACTTTGGACCACAGTGCCACTTTCTGTTTTCTGGTGATTAATTGGAAATAAGACTCTCACAGACTTTCCTGTCTGGGCTGGCTTTGAACTGTGATCCTCAGATCTCAGTCTCCTTAGTAGTTAGGATTACAGATATGAGTCACCAGCACCCTGCTTAGGCTCTTACCTTATAAGAGAGAGGGGGTAGTCCGCACATTTCTCATTGTTACCTCTACCTTCCCTAGATACGTGCGGGTGAAATTTGTCTGTATTCGAACACAGTCAAACAGGAAGAGAACACAGGAGGCAGACACATGCCCAGCCTACTTACTTCTGCAGTACGACGACAGACTAGATAGACTGTTTATCAGTGAACTAAATACCCAGCATGTACATGTTGATTCCCAAACAAGAAGTCATGGTGGAGACCCCACTGGCAAATCTGAAAAGCCACAGTGCCTGCAGAAGCTCCAGCCAGTGCACAGAGACCTTGACAAAGCTGAGAAGTCCCCACTAGAAATCTCATTTTGCCTAGATAAGGTACAAGCACCCTGGAAGCCAGAACAGGGGAGCTTCTCTCCTGACTTAGCCAATATAGCACAAATGATGAAGAACTTTCTAAAGGTAGATGAAGGTTCCATGGCCTCCTTCAGTGTGGGCACCAGTCAAGACCTGGACCGGCTTAGCTTCCAGAGCAGCAAGATGAGTGACCTGTTCACTCGCTTCCCCAAGAATCTCTTGCTGCACAGGGCGGAGAACCCCCAGGGCCACATCCTGTATGCTTTCTTGGTGGAGAACAAGGAGCGAGAGAGTCGAGTGGTTCATTTCTCTGTGCTCAAGGCCGAAACGGCCACCTCTGTGGCCAAGATGTTGAACATCTTCACAGGGTTCAACTCAGATTGGACCAAGGTCAAGGTAGTATTTGTGGACCCTTCATTCCCATACTGGGCCATCCTGCAAGAGATCTTCCCTGCAGCCCGCATCCTACTCTCCATCTACCATACAACCCGGCTCTTGGAAAAGATGCTACAGCAGAGTTCAGCGAGTGCAGCCTTTAAAAGGCTCATGAAGGAAGCCATACGGGAGGCTGTGTTTGTTGCTTCTGATGCCAGTCTGAAAAATCTCTGTCAGATGTGCCAGGCCCTGCTGGATGAGGATCTCTTCAGCTTCCTGCAGACCCACTGGTTCTCCTGTGAACTGCTGTGGTACATGCATGCCAGGAAGGGTCTGCACGCATGCAACACCTACATGGACAGCCTAGACTTTGTCACCAGCAAGGTGTCAAGCCTCTTTCAGAAACAGCAGTCCTTATCGGACTGCATCCTTCGTTTTGTTGATTACATAGACTTCTTTAATACCAAAAGCTCCCCAACTGTTTCCAAGTTAAAGAAAACCTGCTCTCTCAGCATGCAACAACCGAGGACCAAGAAGCCTTTCGGGATCCACGGAGCCAGAGGGCTACCTGAGGAAGAGACAAAGTCAGACTCCAAGCAGGTTTGCTTGCTGCAGCAATCCCCGCTACTGTCCTCCCACGGTGGCATGCTAGACATCTTGCACCAGCGGGGCTCTGAACTGGCTTACAAGCTGTGCCGCAATGAGTGGGAGGTGGTGCAGAATTCCACCCACCTGGTGGATGTGGCAGGTCCCGCAGTAGGCATTCAGCTGCTGGAGGACTCTCACCAGGTGAGCAAAGATGGCTGTAGCTGCAGCTGCTACTTTCAACAATGGTATCACCTGCCATGCCGACACATTCTGGCCCTGCTGCACACCAGCCAGCAGCCAGTAGATGAAGCCATGGTGTGTCGCAGGTGGCAGAAAAAGTATCAATATCTCCTTAGGCCGAATGGAGATCTCCAGGAATGTAGTGTGATCCCATCCACAGACCAGCCTGAAAACCAAGGCCGGCATGACATGATTCAGGACCTCAGCAAGGAGCTAGCTAACCTGCTGATGCAGACAGAGGGACCAGAGCTGGAGGAACGCTGTGCTACCCTGCGCAAAATTGTGGACATCTGGGCTGATCCTGGTGAGCCACGTGAGGCCAGCCAGCATCCAGGAGACTTCAAGGATGTGGGCCTCCTGCCTTTCCTCTGGGGAAAGCAGGAGGAAGGGGAGGGACTCCCTCTCTCTGAAACCACAGTTCATAACTGAAACACTTGCATTGGATCCCGCTCTTCTCCTTGGAGTTTACAGGTTCAAAGTGAGCAGGTCATCCTAGGAGTCAGTACGTTAACCTGTGTCTTCCTGGGTTGGACTAGGAAGAATGTTAACTGTCCTTCAAAGTCTGCCCCTTTCCAGCCCAACCATGACATTCCACGGTGTCTTGTTTGTTGTTCAAGGCCAAAGTTAACTCCATGCTGCCAGGTCACCCCTCTTCCTTGGCTAACCCCTGAGATCAGACCTTCTTGACCCTACAGGGGTGAACCCCTGATCAGAGAAAGCATGGTTAAAAGGGCTTTCAAGGACAAAGAAGGTGACAACCAAATGTTGCTGCTGTTTTTGAAGTATCTGTTATTTTACCTATTTTAATTCCTGTTAAATAAAGTTGGTGTTTTTTCTTCCTAATAAATTTGATGGAATAAGCATGGAAAATGCTCCCTTTTGATGAGGGAAAGAAGGGAAATGGTAGAGAAGGACTCCTGACTTTATTGTTAGGAACGAGGTCCTCTCCAATGGATTTATTTACTGTGTTGCTGAGGTTTGAACCCAGGACCTTGTGTATGATGGGAAAGCTCTCTACCAATGAGCTACATCCCCAGCCCTCAGGTTCTTATTTATTTTAAAGGAAATGGGGTACTATCTAATGAGGTACAAGGCCAAGTAGAACGTGATGCCTCAAATTCAGGGTTAAGAGAGTACCTCCTTACTTTGCCCTTTTCCCACCTAACCATACCTCAACTTTGATTTCAGGAGGCCTTATATTCATCCTAATAGGAGGAAGCCAAATAGACTGGGGAAAGAGAAACTCAGGTCCTAGATCCAACTATGGCAGGTTACTGGGGAACTGTGGGCAAGTCATTTGTTTATTGCTATCCTCTCTGATCTACCAATCATATCTATCTGCCTTGTCTATCTGTGGAGTTAAGAGAATTGTATCCAGGAACTTATGCATAAAGCACTGTACCACTTGAGCCACACCCCTAGCCCTTTGGTTGTTTTTTGTTTTGTTTTACCAGTCCTGGGGCCTGAACTCCCGACTTGGCACTGCCCCTTAGCCGCTTTGTGCTCAAGGCTAGCACTCTACCACTTGAGCCACAGCGCCACTTCTGGGTTTTTCTAAGAGTCTTACAGACTTTTATGCCCAGGTTGACTTTGAACCATAATCCTCAGATCTCAGCCTCCTGAGTAGCTAGGATTTCAGGTGTGATCCACCCACACCCAGTTTATATAGACATTTTCATTGCAATAATAAACACCAACACTGATTCCTGTTTTTATTGTTTAACAACTCTGACTTTTTGGGGTTTTTTTTTGTTTGTTTTGGTTTGGGTTTTTTGGCCAGTCCTAGGGCTTGAATTCATGGTCTGGGTACTGTCCCTGGGCTCCTTTTGCTCAAGGCTAGCACTCTACCACTTGAGCCACAGTTCCACTTCTGGCTTTTTCCGTTTATATGGTGCTGAGGAATCACACCCAGGGCTTCATGCATGCTAGGCAAGCACTCTACCGTTAAGCCACATTCCCAGCCCCAACAATGCTGACTTTTGGTGTGAGTTGGTGCTCTTTATGTGGTAAACATTATGGTGGAAAGCCTGCTGTCTTCATGACAACTGGACAAAAGATGAGACGCCCTCCTCTCCTTCTTATTCCTCCCTCCCTGTCCCCTCTCCTTCCCACTGCTTCCCTCTCCCCTCTGGGTTTCCTTAGCTCCAAAGGCTGGCTGAAGAAGTTGAATTTGGGACCTGGGCCTCAGTTTCCCCACAATGTAGAGTAGCACATTGGACAATTACATTTGTACCCAAACCCCTGGCCTTTGACATCTAAAAAACTTTTTCTGTAAAACAATGCTGTTTATTTTCATTTTCATTTCCAGCCTTGAGAGAGTTTCCACGGTCGCGTATCTTTCCAGTCGTGGGGTTCTAGAGTTCCAGATTCTGAGTTTCAGATGCAAGGCCTCTGCCTTAGTCCTGGCCAGCGGAGCCTTTCGTTACTCCGGTAATAACACCCGCCCTGTCCGTGGCGGGCTACGATTGGTCCGTGGCACCAAAGACCGACTTCGAACTCCTTAGGCCATTGGCCTGAGTCTCTGTGAAGTTGATGTTCTGATTGGCGAGTCTAGAGGTCACTCAAAGTCGGAGGCAGGGTCAACTAGATATAGCTAGGGTCGATTGCGCGGGGAGTGGAAATGTGAAACACATGTTCTCCGCGCCCAGCCTCCGCACCGCTCCCCAAGGGTGGGCAAGTAACCTCCCCAGCTCCACCGGACTCCAGCCGCGAACGACAGACATCCAGACCCCTCCCACCCCGCGCCCGTGTTAGAGGTGAGAGGTCAAAGGCTACATCCCCTTTCTGGTCCTAGGATTTTGCCTCGGAAAGCCATGAGGATCTCGAGCTAAAGCTGGCTTCCAGCTACTGACAGCAAAGGAGGGCAAATAAATAGCCCCAGTTTCTCATCAGAAAAATGGGTACAATAACTTGTTTGGAGGCCAAATAGAGGCATGAGAAGATAACTTGGTTAGTCCCATTTTAAAGTGGAAGGGATTGAGGCTTCTCTGAGAAGAACGTCGTTGACTTGCCCAAGATCCTACAGCAAATTGCAGGCAATTACAGTTCACTTGAATATACTAGGACTCAAGGAATGTGAATGCCAGGAAATAATTTGTAAGTAATAATGACTGTACAACTACTTGGACTACTAAAAATCACGTTGGCCGCGTGCAGATGGCACAAGCCTGTTATCCTGAGATTTGAGGATTGTGGTTCAAAGCCAGGCCCACTAGCAAAATCCCTAAGATAATTTATTTCCAATTAACCAGCAAAAAGCCAGAAGTGGAGTTGTAGCTCAATTGGTAGAGAGCTGGCCTTTTTCTTTCTTTCTTTCTTTTTTTTCTGTCGGTCATGGGGCTTGATCCCTGGGCCTGGGCGCTGTCCCTCAGCTCTTCAACTCAAGGCTGACACTCTACCACTTGAGCCACAGCACTACTTTCCGGTTTTCTGAGTGGTTTATTAGAGGTAAGAGTCTCATGGCCTTTCCTGCCCAGGCTGGAGTAGCTAGGATTACAGACGTGAGACACCGGCACCCAGCTGAGAGCCAACCTTGAGTGAAAAAGTCAAGTGAGAGCGTGAGGCACACACACGCACGCACACACACACACATGCATGCATGCATACACACAAGAAAAACCAAAAAGCTCTGGCCTTCACAACTCTTTATCCCCTGGAACCCTGTCTTTCTTTTCTTTTTTTCTTTTCTTTCTTTTTCTCTCTCTTTTGTCTTTTTTTGCACATGTGAACTCAGGGCTTGGGCACTGTCCTTGAGCTCCTTTGCTCAAGGCTAACGTTCTTTCACTTTGAGCCACAGCTCCCCTTCTGATTTTTGAGTGGTTAATTAGAGGTAAGAGTTTCTGGAGGAGCCAGGTGCTGGTGGCTCACGCCTGTAAATCCTAGCTACTAAGGAGGCAGAGATCTGAGAATCAAAGTTCAAAGCCAGCCTGGGCAGAAAAGTCCAAGACTTTTTTTTTTTTTTTAGTCCGTCGTGGGGCTTGAACTCTGGGCCTGGGCGCTGTCCCTCAGCTCTTCAGCTCAAGGTGAGCACTCTACCACTTGAGCTACAGCACCACTTGTGGTTTTCTAGTGGTTTATTGGAGATAAGAGTCTCACAGACTTTCCTGCCCGGGCTGGCTTTTAACCGAGATCCTCAGATCTCAGCTTCCTGAGTAGCTAGGATTACAGGCGTGAGCCACCGGTGCCCTGCCAGTCCTAGATTTTTTATCTCCAATTAGACTTTTATCTCCAAAAGACTCATCTCCAATAAACCACTCAGAAAACTGGAAATGGTGCTGTGGCTCAAGTGGTAGAGCACTTGTCTTGAGCTGAAGAGCTGAGGGACAGCTCCCAAGCCCTGAGTTCAAGCCCCATGACCCACAAAAAAAAAAAAAAAAAGTTTCAGGAGGGCTGGGAATGTAGCTTAGTGGTAGAGTGCTTGCCTTGCATTCATGAGGCCCTGGGTTCCATTCCTCAGCACTACATAAGCAAAAAAAGCTGGAAGTGGTGCTGTGGCTCTAGTGGTACAGTGCTAGCCTTGAGCTGAAGAGCTGAGGGACAGCACCTGGGCCCAGAGTTCAGGCCCCACGAAACAGTTTAAGGAGACTGCGTGGTGCTGGTGGCTCAGGCCTTTAATCCTAGCTACTCAGGAGGCTGAGATCTGATGGTCACAGTTCAAAGCCAGCTCAGGCAGGAAAGTCTGTGAGACTCTATCTCCAATTAACCACCAAAAAACCCAGAAGTGGCACTATGGCTTAAAGTGGTAGAGTGCTAGCCTTGAGCAAAAAAGTTTATAGACATCACCGGGATTCTGAGTTCAAGCCCCACAACCAACCAAAAAAGTCTCATGGGGACTTTTCTGCCCCGCCTGGCTTTGAACCGCCATCCTCAGCTTCCTGAGTAGGATTACAGGTGAGAGCCACCAGCACCAGGTGGAACCATATCTATGGTTGGTTTCTTCAGGTCTTATTTCCAGGATCACCTTGACCTTACCCCCAACTAGAGTCTACCTGAATTCCTTAACTGAAGTATTAATGCCTTCCACATCTTACTCTCTGACCTGTCTTGTGGGTTTTGTAACCATTATCAGATACATGTTTGTGTACATGTTTGTTGTATATCTCCCCTAGAACAGTGTTCTAGATGACTAATTGAAGAGCCAAGTCCCTACTGTCTTCTTGACTGTCTGTTTCTCTCTGTAGAACCATCTTTGGAAGAATATCTGGAAACTACTGTCCAGCCTCACGTTATTCCTTCCTTGGAGTTTAAGACGCTCAAAGCATTCCTGACAGTATCCTGCAGAGGAAGTACTGGATCCAGCTCTCTCTCTACCATGGCCCTCACAATGCTGAATGGGCTTCTAGTTGAGGACTTGAGCCCACCTAGGCTGCTACTACACCAAGTTAGCGAGACTCCCCAGCTGGATTCTCTCAACTACCAGAGCTGCTTTATGCAAGGTATCTTTGCCAATTTCCCTGAGATCCTATTTATCCACCGAACTTATAACCCAAGAGGCAAGGTGTTATATACCTTCCTGGTGGATGGACCTCGGGTACAGCTGCAGGGGCCTCTTTCCCAGGCAGTCTACTTTGCCATCCCTGCCAAAGAGAATGCAGAAGGCGTGGCTCAGATGCTCCAGGTGTTCAAGAAGTTTAACCCAGCATGGGAGAGAATCTGTACCATCCTGGTGGATCCCTACTTTGTCCTGCTGCCCACTCTGGCCATGGAGTTCCCCATAGCTGAGGTCTTGCTCTCAGCCTTCCATGTGTGTAAGTTCCTCCAGGGCAAGTTCTATCAGTTGTCCCTGGAGCAGCGGGTAGAGACATTGCTCCTGACCTCCCTGCAGAACACCATGTGCTCAGCCACCACAGGCAACCTGAGGAGGCTGCACTCGCTCCTGAGCAGCTATATTCCCCCAGCCCTCCTGCCTGAGCTCCACTCACACTGGCTGCTCAATGACCGCATCTGGCTGGCCCCCCGCTCGAGAAGCCAAGCCCAGAGCAGCCGCTACTTCCAGAGCCTCGAGGTCACCACCAGGATCCTCAGTCAGTCTTTTGGCACTGCCCCATCTGAGAAGCAAGGCATAGCCTCTCTGTTTTGCTACATACAGCAGAACCCTGGAGACAAAGCAAGTTCCAGCCTGGCGCTGAGGCCCCCAAATCATCATACCACCTCAGATGTCAGCCCCAAAGTCCAGCAATTGGTAGAAGCCAGCATCCAGCATTCCCTCAATGCCATCTGCACAGCGCCAGCAGCCCAACTCTGCTTGGCCGAGTTTGCTGTGGTCCAGAAATCCGTGCACCTCATTGGCTCTGGCTCAGAAAAGATGAATATACAGATCCTAGAGGACACTCACAAGGTGCAGCCCCAGCCCCCTGCCAGCTGCAGCTGTTACTTCCACCAGGCCTTCCACCTGCCCTGCCGCCACATCCTGGCCATGCTCAGTGCCCGCCATCAGGTGCTCCAGCCAGACATGCTGCAGACTCAGTGGACAGCGGGCTGTGCCACCGGTTTAGACAGCATCCTGGACAGCAAGTGGGATGAGGCTCTGGATAAGCACCTGGCAGTGACTCTCCTCACCGAGGAGGTGCGTCAGCTCTTACAGCATTGCAGTGAGGATGAGTTTGAGCGGCGGTTCAGCACCCTGAGGGAACTAGCCGACAGCTGGATTGGCCCTTATGAACAGGTGCAGCTGTGATGACTCCATACCCAGAGATGCTCCTGCACCTGTGCACATCCACGTCTTCCTACCATGCACGTGCACACACACACACACCCTCCCTACCCTCACACCTGGGCTTTGTAAGCCTTCCTTCCAGAAACAAGACAAAACTCTTCTACTCTGCCTGCTCATCTAGAATGTGTCTCACTCCTAAGACAGAAGTTAGCAAATCTTTTCTGTAAAAGGCCCAATTATGAGTAGTTTAAAGTGATAGCCACATAGTCTGTTCTTGGTTGGGTTTGGACAAGCTTTTCATAAAACAGTTCTTGGCTCAAGGATTTTATGAAACCAGGCAACCCTGTCTAAGATAAGAGAGACAACTTTGGGTGGTAAAGTTGAGGGCATGCTAACCACTGGTCCAGTCTAAGATGTGTCACCTGACCCAGGTCCTGTGTGTGAGCTAGCCTGGGAACCTTCCCACAGGGGTGGCTCAGCATGGCTTGCTACATGTTTATCCCTGCTCCATCCCCAGGTCAATAAAGTTGAATGTTACCTATTCCAATACTTATCTAGTCCTTTGTTGATAGCCATTTAGGGTATATTGCCAAAGGAATAGAATTTGGAGTGTGATACTGGGTAAAGGCCTGGCTAAAGTAACAATTCCTTATTTTTTGAGACCTGATTCTATCTTTAACTGGCTATGGAATTCTGGACAAGTCAACTCTTTAAGCCTCAGTTTTTTTTTGTTTTTTTTTGTTTTTTTTGGTCCGGTTGTGGGGTCTGAACTCTGGGCCTGAGCACTGTCCCTCAGCTCTTCAGCTCAAGGCTAGTGCCCTACCACTTGAGCCACAGCGCCACTTCCAGCTTTTACCTTTTTGCTTATGTGGTGCTGAGGAATCGAACCCAGGGCCTCAGGCATGCAAGGCAAGCGCTCTACCACTGAGGCAACTTCCCAGCCCCAGCCTCAGTTTTTTAATCTGTAAAAATGGGTTCTTAAGCCAGGCACTGGTGGCTCACACCTGTCATCCTAGCTACTCAGGAGGCTGAGATCTGAGGATCATGATTCAAAGCCAGCCCAGGCAAGAAAGCCAGTGAGACTCTTATCTCCAATAAACCACTCAGAAAACCAGAAGTGGCGCTGTGGCTCAAGTGGTAGAGCGCTAGCCTTGAGCTGAAGAGCTGAGGGACAGCGCCCAGGCCCAGAGTTCAAGCCCCACAACCGACCCCCCCCCCAAAAAAAAAACGCTCCTAACCAGGTGCTGGTGGCTTACACCTGTAATCCTAGCTACTCAGGAGGCTGAGATCTGAGGATCTTGGTTCAAAACCAGCCAGGGCAGGAGAGTCCATGAGACTCTTTTATCTCCAATAAAGCCACCAGAAAACTGGAAGTGGCACTGGGCTCAAGTGGTAGAGTGCTAGCCTGGAGCTGGAGAGCTGATGGACAGCACCCAAACCCAGAATTCAAACCCACAACCAACCAACAGACACACACACACACACACAGAGCTCCTCACAGTGCACCTCACAGTGCACTCAGATTAAAAGAAGAGTAGGGTTCCAATTGGTCTGGACACCTAGCAAGGGCTCAGCCCACTGTTTGTTGTTTTTTGGTTGGTCATGTGGCCTGAACTCTGGGCCTGGGCACTATCTCTCAGCTCTTCAGCTCAAGGCTAGCACTCTACCACTTGAGCCACAGCACCACTTCCGGCTTTTTCTGCTTCTGTGGTGCTGAGGAATCGAACCCAGGGCCTCATGCATGCAAGGCAAGCGCTCTACCACTGAGCCACCTTCCCAGCCCCACACTGTTCATTTTCCTTTGCCTACCATTCTAGCATCTGCCTTCAAAAGGCAAGAGGAAAATTCACATGGCCTAAGCCTCTCTGTAAGTGGATCTCAACACTTGGATCATTTGAATTCATCTGATCAGCCCTATCTTTTGTCTTAGTGGTGTTGGAAGAAACTTGCAGGGTCTAGACTCTGGTAAAGGACAGGGATTTGTCCGATTAGCTCAACCGCACACCCTGTCCCCATCGCTGCCATAGGACCACCCACCCCCAGCCCTGGCTGCCCAAAAACCATACGGAGAAGCCACCCTATTTGTGTGGTGCTATTTCATCCAGCTATAAGCAGGAGCCAGGAGGCTGGCCCCTCCTCGATCTCACTAGGGGCATCTGCCCAGCGGCTGTATGGGCATGTGCCTGCTCCCACTGTGCCCCCTCCACTGTACCCTCTGGCTCAGGATGGGCCATCATGAACGCTTGAGCCGCCCGGATCAAGTCCTCTTCCCGAAGGCCTGGGACGGGTACTGTGGGAATGCCAGCGATCATCATGGCCAGGGTGAGAATGCAGATGTCGGGCTGGGTGCCAGCCTCCTTGCCCCCTGGCTCAGGGGGCCTGGGCAGAACCCCCGGAGACAGCCCCCACAGCAGCACGGGCCCAGGCCTGCTGGGGCCACCCTGGCGGGAAGCTTTGTTTCTGGAGTTGCCATCCTCCCAGCCCAAGCTCTCGGGCTGCCTCCCAGGGGAGAACTGGGGGCAGTATCGGCCGTATTCCTTCCTCCGAAGTGTCTCCCAGCTGGGGCCCCCGGGGCAGCCCCTTGTTTCAGGCACTGCCAGGGTGGGGCTCCAGGCTTGGGCAGCAGGTACCACCTGCTCAGCTTTTTGGCTCAGTGGGCCTAGTCCACCAGAAGCCATCACCACTGGCTCTGCAGGACCAGAAAGGCCAAGGGATGAACCGGGAGAAGCAGCCCCACCTGCAGAGACAGGAATGAGATGGGATGTTATTCTTGGTCTCAGAGGACAGGCCCTGAGGGGCAGAGTGTGGGCTCAGAAACAATTGAGAACCAACCCAAGCACTATTGGCTCTGCCTTTAATCCTAACTACTCGGAAGGCTGGAGTTTCAAAGCCAGCCCCAGCGGGAAATTCCAGAAGACTCTTACTTCCAAGTAACCCCCCAAAAGCCAGAAATGGAGCCATGGCTCAAGTAGTAGAGTGCCAGCATTAAGCAAAAGGAGTCAAGGAGCTGGGCACCAGTGGCTCATACTAGCTACGCAGGAGGCTGAAATCTGAGGGTCATGGTTCAAAGTCAGCCCAGGCAGGAAAGATTCTAATCTCCAAGGAACCACCAAAAAGCCAGAAGTGGAGCTGTGGCTCAGGTGGTAGAATGCCACACTTGAGCAAAAAATCCTCAAGGACAGCACCCAGACCCTGAATTTTAAAAAAAGGCTAAGGGACAGTACCTAGATCCTGAGTGCAAACCACAACACACACACATACAACACGAACACCCAAGAGGACTTGGGTTTCAAGGTTCAGAACTGTTGTTACTCATATCCAGTTCCTACACTGTGTGGGTGATGTTGGATAAATAAATAAGCAAATGGGTAGTAAGTAATTGGCAATTTCAACATGGCTTGATTCCAAGGCTAGCCCAAAAATGCCTGGCAAAACCTCCACCTCCCGGGAGCCTGTCTCACCTGGGCCAGAAGACAGACGACCTGGATGGGTTTGTGGAGACATGAAGTAGGACATGGCTTCTCCAAAGCTCCTGTTTGTGAGGGAATAGTCCTAGGTCCACTACCCTACTTTGTCCACCCTTCTAGAATGTCATCTGATAGTCCCTCCCTTTTACACCGCCTGGCAAGCTACCTCACAGCACTGACCAACTCATTCTAGAACCTGTATATGATAATGGGAGGGAGTTAAAATCACTGGATGAGACCTGAGTATTCTAGGCCTTTGTCTGTATCGTGGGCAAGGCTTTCAGTTTGTTTGAGTTGTGTTTTGGGGTGTTCTTTTGTGTATGTGTTTTGGTTTGTCACGGGCCTTGAACTCAGGGCCTGGGCGCTGTCCCTGAGCTTTTTTTGCTCAAGACTAGCATTCTACCACTTTGAGCCAAAGCTTGACTTCCAGTTTTCTGGTGGTTAATTGGAGAGAAGCATCTCATGGACTTTTGAACCGCGATCCTTAGACCTCAGCTTCCTTAGTAGCTAGAATTACAGGCATGAGACACCAACACCTCAACTGATAATTTTTAATTTGTTTTTGGGTTTTTTTTTTTTGCACTGCTAAGGATCTAACCCATGGATTTGTGCATGCTAGGCTTAAGCTCTACCACAAAGCTGCCTCCCCAGCCCACCTAGACTGTCTTGTTCCTCAATATCTACCTCCCTGGAAATTGTGAGGACCAGATGTGAGAGGCTCTCAGATGCTGAGCTGTGAGACCTGAGAGGACCTGGCTGTCAGCCACAATTAGATAAGATCATCCATTCAAAAGCTAATGGTGAGAGACACAAATCAAAGAATCCAGCCAGTGCTGGAGCACACACCTGTAATCCTAGCTACTCATGAGGCTGAGATCTGAGGACTGTGGTTTTGAATCCAGCCTGGGCAGGAAAGTCTGTGAGACTCTTACCTGAAATTAATCAGCAAAAAGCTGGGAGTGGAGCTGTTACACCTCTACCCTGCAGGCTGCAAGGCCCTGAGTTCAAGCCTCAGAACTAAAACAAAAACAGATAAATGAGGAAGCTAGAGTTTTCAACCCTGTAGTGTGAGACACAGAGTATACTTCATTCAATCATTGTTACTTGACACTGGACAAATACATGTTTGTCTCTGGGCCTCAGTTTCCCCTCTGCAAAATTAAATGTTTGCTCTCAGGCACTGATTCTCAGTCTAGGCCATACAGTAGAATTTCCTGGAAGCTTTTTGCCATTCTGATGGATAGCCTCACACCAGACAAACCAGGATCCTGAGTATCTTTTTTTTTTTTTTTGGTCAGTCAAGGGGCTTGAATTCAGGGCCTGTCCCTGAGCTCTTTGTCCCAAGGCTAATAATGCTCTAGCACTTTGAGCTACAGTGCCACTGCTAGTTTTCTGCTAGTTAATTGGAGATAAGAGTCTCACAGACTTTCCTGCCCAAACTGGCTTTGAACAATCCTCAGCCTCAGCCTCCTGAATAGCTAGGATTCTAAGCATGAGCCACCAGCACTGGGCTGAGTATCATATATATAATAAGTAAATAAATATATATATACTTATTTTTATTTTTTTGCCGGTCGTGGGGCCTGAACTCTGGGCCTGGGCACTGTCCCTCAGCTCTTCAGCTCAAGGCTAGCATTCTACCACTTGAGCTTTTTCTGCTTATGTGGTGCTGAGGAATCGAACCCAGGGACTCATGCATGCAAGGCAAGCACTCTGCCATTGAGCCATCTTCCCAGCCCCAGAGCACCATATTTTTAAGCTCTTTAAGAAACTATATGTGCAGAGCACCAGTGGCTCACACCTGTAATGCTATCTACTCAGGAGGCTGAGATCTGAAGATCATGTTTCAGAGCCAGCCCAGGCAGGAAAGTCTGTGAGACTCTTATCTCCAACTAACTACCAGAAAACCTGAAGTGCCACTGTGGTTCAAGTGGTAGAGCACTAGCCTTGAGCTGAAGAGCGCAGGGACAATGCCCAAGTCCAGAGTTCAAGCCCCATGACCAACAAAAAAGGAAAGAAAGGAAGGAAGGAAGGAAGGAAGGAAGGAAGGAAGGAAGGAAGGAAGGAAGGAAAGAAAGAAAGAAAGAAACTATATGTGCCAGGGTTAAAGTCCCTGTTCGGCGGAAATGCTTCCCAACTCTGAACCTTAGAATCAAGATGTTTTAAAAAACCATCTAGACCTAATGCTTCTGCATTAGAAAATCTGGGATAGGGCTGGGAAGGTGGCTCAGTGGTAGAGCGCTTGCCTTGTATGCTCAAGGCCCTGGGTTCGATTCCTCAGCATCACATAAGCAAAAAGAAAAAAGCCGGAAGTGG